CTATAGATAGTACCAGTGTTCTTCCTGCACTTTTACTATTATATTTGCCTGGAAAACTTGACAGCGTCCATGGCATCAAACAAGCGTCCGCTGAGGTCAAAAGCGGTTTTTGAGCAGCTAGAAAATAGCGATAGTGATGTGGAATCACTTATTGAATTGAGCGGCAGCAATGCGTGGGGAAGTTCGTCGTCAGACACTGAAAGTGACGAAAGCGCGGATTCTGCGACTGAGCTAAGTGATGTGCGAACTTGGTGCCCTATTGATTGTGGTACGGATCACGCAGCGCCCCCAAGATTCCCATTTACTGGAGCATCTGGTAGGAAGGTAGATGTGGAACATGATAACCCCTTGGCCTACCTAAAATTATTTATGACCGATGAGGTTATTGATGAGATTGTTACCGAGACAAACCGGTACAATGAACAGCAATCCACAACCCTGCATGGGAAGTTTTCCAGAAATAGAAAGTGGGAACCAGTGACCAGAGATGACATCTGGAAGTTTCTGGGCCTAATAATTCTTCAGGGAGTGGTGGGGAAACCTCTGCAGAAGTGGTATTGGACAACCAATAAATTACTTGCCACTCCATTCTTTGGCACGGTCATGTCGGAGTACAGGTTTTCCCTCATAATGAAGTTTTTACACTTCGCAGACAATGAGGAATTTGACGAAGCCACTCATCCTGCCCCAAAACTGAAAAAAATTTGGAAGGTATCCCAGATGATTTTGAGGAATTTCCAGCAAACCTATGTGCCAGAAAGAGACATCACCATAGACGAAAGTCTAATGGCCTACAAGGGAAGGCTCAGCTGGATTCAATATATAGCATCCAAGAGAGCACGATTTGGCGTCAAGACCTATATGCTATGCGAAGCGGCATCTGGCTACATATGGAACTCCGTGATTAACACTGGGAAAGGAACCAAATTTGATGCCAAATATAGCAGCTACGCAGCTACGGAATGGCAACTTCTTCTGTTCTCTCACTCACTTTTGCTTGAAAAACAATGTAACGCTTTTGGTACCTAAAATCCTGAATAATCATACCGCCAGGGAGGTTAATAACCACATCTCAAAACAGTTTTTAGATCCCAAGATGAAGGCGGCCAAATGTGTACGTTTCAAAATGCCCAGTCGAGCTTGGCCATGTTCCATTCTAAGCCTCCCTGTTCATTCTTTTACATGAT